TATATATATACACACATATATATGAATATATATATATATATAGATATAGATATACATCTATATATATATATATGAATATATATATATATATATATGAATATATATATATATATATATATCGCTATATATATATATTCCTTTATATATATATATGTATATATGTATATATTTGTTCATGTATATGAATGTATATTTCTTTATAATGTCATGATCAGCATCATGTTCATGGTCAGGATGATCATCATGATAACCTTCTTATTTCTCTGATGGCTCGCTTTTTTGGTCGCCGGGTGTGTTCTGCCCACGATGCTGGTGACAATGGCTTTATTGGGCTTGTGGCAGGGCCGTGATCATCGCAACAGTTGTTGCTTCCGGGGCATGTCCGGCAGAAAGTCCTTGTTGGGCTCTGGGGACAGACATGCTTGCGATGGGTCACCTGTCGCATGGATCGGGCCTGTCAGGAACGCGAACCTCGTGTCAGGGAGTCGTGGTAGGAAAGTGTCAAGTGTCACAGGGATCGGGGGTGCTTGGGACGGGATCCTCGCGACAGCTGGTTTTGGAAGACTCAGTACGCACGGTCATGGGGATTCGGCTTGTTTGGACCTGGGGGCGGGACGATGAAATGGGGCTGGATCGGCGAATCGCGAACCGGTCATGTGTATGTAGACGATACGTATACTTTATGTCTAGTTGCACATATGTTTATGCGTATATCTGGATATCTTTATAAGTCTTTTTTTATGTGTACGTAGCGATGGGACCAGCCCCAGACCTCAACGTGGATGCACCCTCAAATAGCCGTCCAACGAAGGACAGCTTTGTGCCCGGCGCGTCCTCGATTCACAACAGGTGCGAAGGCATGCATGATCAGGTTCTGGGTAAAGGCCAGATGGTCGCTGTGCTCTTGCTCCTCGTGGTACTCCTGGACTCCCTTTCAATGCGAGTCTCCGGTGCAGCAAGTTGGGGCTTTCATACTACTTCCGCTGCCGTTGTGCAAGGCTGAGAAGGCTGAAGGCCCTGCGATCCTTGCAACACCACCAGTGATAAGCCAGGTACATTCCACATGGTCCGGATGCTGCGGCGGTGGAGACGGGCACGGAGCGGGACACCTCGAATCCAGAGAGGTGGGGTCCGAACTAGCGACGGTGACAGTGACAGAGTTTCAGTCTTTGTTGCGACCTAACATTGCTGATGCCAGTTAAGTTGCTGTTGCTGTTTCGAAACACTCTCACTTTCGTTTTCCTGTTGCTTGAGCTGTCGCAAACCCTGCCAAAGAAGTCGTAACAAGGTTTCTGTTGGTGAAACTTCGGAAGGGAAGGCGACTGCTTGCGAATGTATTTTTGCAAGTGGAAGCTGTGGTTCGGAGCTGCACTGACGTGGCACCCGCATGAGGGGCTCTGACTGTTTTGCTTAGCCATAGCATAGCAGGAGGACCCATGGCAAAAGGCTCGGGAGTAGGAGTAGGGGAAGGGGTCGGGGTAGGGGCAGGAGTCGGAGGAGCAGGAGTAAGAGTAGGAGTAAGAGTAGGAGTAGTAGGAGTAAGAGTAGGAGCAGGAGCAGGAGCAGTAGCAGTAGAAGTGGGTGAAGGAGTAGTAGTAGTGGTGGTGGTGGCAATAGTTGTATTCGTCGTGGTGGTGGTGGTGGTGGTTGTGGCAATTAGTACTTAGTAGTTAGTACTTAGTAGTTACTACTTAGTCGTTAGTGCGTTAGTGGTTAGCAGTTGGTAGTTGCGCTTGTACTTAGTAATTGTAGTCGCAGTAGTAGTAGTAGTAGTAGTAGTAGTAGTAGCAGCAGCAGCAGCAGCAGTAGTAGCAGCAGCAGCAGTGGTCGGAGTAGTGGCAGTAGGCAGTAGTAGTAGTAGTAGTAGCAGTAGTAGTAGCAGTAGAGTAGTAGTAGTAGTAGTAGTCGTCGTCGTCGTCGTCGTCGTCGTCGTCCTCGTCGTCGTCGTAGTTGTTGTTTTTGTTTTTGTAGTTTAGTTGTAGTTGTTGTATGTGCCAGTAGGAGATGCTGCAGCAGA